ATATATATATATATATATTTGTTTTTACTAAATGTTTAAAAATTTTGTAAAGATGTTTTGTTTTTATTTTCACAAAAATCCTCATCATGTCACTGAGCCATGACACTGAGACAGATATTCTCTACTGAATCCCTTCAACTCTGGTTAAACTCTGTCCTGATTTATCCAGCTGTGCAGATTTGGTCAAAGCCCTGACACCCCTGATAACACCCACTGTATGTGTAAAAGCTGTTGATAGCATCCGTCTTTCATGCAGAATTTACATAGATTAACATTCTCATGTTTATTCTGTAGCTCAAGATGCTTCACCGCTCATCCAACTGGCTTCAGCAGTTGTGATCGGATGATGTGATCTCTTCATACTCAGTGGCATCATCTGAAATAGTCATCTAGGAAAACTCTCATGAAGATATTAAATGACAGCTCATTAATGGTGGAATCCCGGGTAACTGAGAGATTAATTATATAATAATATTTGTAGGTAGCTGAGAAACAGCTGCAGACCGCTTCTCCTGTTCAAGTTGGTAGCTCCACTTCCACATCGATGGCCTCCTTAACTCTTCTCTCTGAGACCCTCTATGATCTCTGTCTCAGATGTTCATTTGACTGCCCTTGAGCGTGTGGTCCTTGTCTTTTAGCTGCAGATACACTGCTGTGTTGTGACATGCACTCACACTGTGGTGGTTTGGTTTGCTGATATACAGCTTTGGACGTTCCTCATCACAGAACTGCATGAGTGATGGTACTCTGTTTGTCCTTTACTGCATATATGATGAACGTCCTCTGTTCAGTCTGTTTGAAGTGGATGTTGTTTGTTGAAGGTACCTGTATAGTTTCTCAAATGCTCAAGTCATCTAGAGAATGACAATGTTGTTTTGTTCATTTTGCTTTTCACCGTTTTGGTCTCTATGTTGAACCGTTTAGTGGTTTTGATGAAGCTGAAAATGAGTTTCTGAGAATCAAATCCAGTTGACCAGAATGGATCTACTAGAGCAGGGGGTCAAATTGGACATAAAAAAAATTAATAATAATAATAATAATAAAGATTAAAAATATATATTTTTAGCTATGTCAAAGTTAACATGTTAGCTTAAGATATTGCATACATGTGTTTAGCATGAAAATGTTTAAAACATGTGTTGATATGATTATTACTGTTTTATTTTGATGTCTAAAAACTACAGAAATCATGAAAATAATCACAATTATTTTTTCTATTGACACCATAGTTTTTAACAGTATGAAATAATAATAATTACACACACACACACACACATAAATATATATACATATTATTACTTTGTCTAATCATCTTATTTAGTTGTATAATGTCTGGCAATTCTGAAATCATGGCAATAATCACAACTATTTAACAGTAACACTAATTAACAGTAATTATATAACAATAAGAAATAATAATATTTAAAAAAACACATTATTAATATAATTACTGTTTCATTTTGCTGTCTAAGACTGGATATTAATCACAATTATTTGATCACATCGACTGCCATAGTTTTTAACAGTAAATAATATCAATAAATAAATAACAGTAAATAATATAAATACATTAAACTAATTTACTCATTTATTTTGTCGTCTAAATACTAGAATATTCTACTATGACCAGGATAACAGAATCTTCACAGACATTCTCATGGCTTTTAGAGTGAGTGAAAAAAATCAGGATGATACACAGCCGTAAGACCATTTTAGTTTATATTAAAGCCTCTTCCACAGGCATACATCATGTTGACTGTAAATGAATTAAACTGAACTGAGTACTCCCTACCGTAGCGTACAGGTAAAAAATAAAAATGCAGAGAACCCATTTCTCAAGTTCATTCTCCCATCAGAGCGCCGGAGAGTGCATGTAAATGTTGTGCATCACAAACCATAATTCTTCATTTTTAAGTCAATATCAAGGCACAGAAAAAGCAGCGCTTCCCGGAGATTTCTCTGAGCAAACACACATACAGCTCCTCATATATAATGAACTGGACACATTCTGCAGATGAGGAAGTCAGACGTGCTGAGCATCACATCTATTCATTCAGAGCCATCCAGTGATGGCGGACACGTCCTGCTCTTCTGTTGTAGACGGGTCATATAGAGCTTTTTTTTTATTCTGCCATTTGTGTAGCGTTTTTCTGAAAAGTCATTTAATGGGGTGGGGTGGGGAGCGGTGCGATGGCAGCTGCATGCTGGGAGAGCAAACACAGGGCTTTTCACGCCACCTGGGCTGGGCAGAGCAACTGAGCCGTGCAAAGCCCGAATAGAGGAAGTGCAAAGAGAAGTTCGAGCAATCTGCAGTATAGAGGAGTTGCCAAAAAAATGTTGACTTTGTTGCGTTCGTGCCTGTGTTCCCTGCCTGCGATAAGGCTTTCGAGTGGTGGCGGCATGTGATCTCAGCTCTGAATTCATGCATTTGCATAATCCGCAGTGAATTACTCTGGCTATCACCTTTAAAAATCAGCATTTTCTTTTTTTAATGCATGTTCATATCTGGAAAAAACACTGTCAGAATGTTCTGCTACAAAGTACAGTTGGTCCTTTCAGCAACAGTGACACAAAAAATATTTCAAAAGTTAATTACAGCACACAAATGCATTTAAAAACATAAACGAATAATGACATGTTAAGGTACATTTGGTTAATATTTTTGCTGCTCATGAATATTTTCTGTTTTCTGGTTAGTATACAGGAACTGAGTTAATCCTTTTTGCAAACCACATACAAACCAATTTCAACAGTCAGTCTATCAACCCACTGTTCTTTAGGGAGGAAATGTGAATTTGGTTTATTAAAAAATCCAGGGGAGCTATTGCACATGATCTTTGATATCTGAATGATGTTTTTAAATTGTAATAATTTTACATATTAATAACACCAACAACATTTAATACAACTATTTTATTTATTTATTATGGATACATTTAAAAATATTTTTAGTAAGCAAATTTCTAATCAGTATTTTCCTCTATAGACTATAAGAAGTGTTTTTATAATGCATTTGTTACCTTAATAAACTATTTCTGCTTAATTCGAAAAAATGGTTTCGTTTGTATAAATTAACACATTACGTTTACGTCTACTTATTTAATTGTTTATTTATTTATTGACATTTTTAAACCAAATAATTTAGATGTTACTATTTTTAGGTTTTCATGTCATAGCTGTTACTATATGTGCATTTTAACATTGCTGGAATGCTGTATCGACCAATCAGTATCCGGGACGATGCTATCTGTTTTATATTCAACTCAACTTGCATTGCAGATGTTTTGTACTTTGCACAGTTGTTTTTAAACTGCTGTAGGACAACCTAGCGATCTAATCCAAAATGACAAAGTCACATGAATTCTCTTTGTGTATATACAGAACACTTCATTTGTGTAAAATTGAAAATGCATGCTGAATATATTTTATGTGACAGCATGTCAACACCTGTGAAGCTCTGGAGTGTGAGCTAACGCAAAAATTATTGTTTTCCTGCTAGGATTTTCCATTCTTCAAGCCATTATGGAGGCTGCAGTGGCAAACAACTGGCAAGTTACAGCGCGGTCGGTGGGCAGCATCACGGACCCCCAGGAGTTCCGGCGCATCATTGAGGAAATGGACAGGAGGCAGGAGAAGCGCTTCCTCATCGACTGTGAAGTGGACAGAATCAATGTCATCTTGGAGCAGGTAAAGTCTGCATCTCCCCCCTGCCCATTTCTTCACTTTTCTGGCTGGTTTGACGTCTCTTCCCTACCCATAAAGCACTGAAGATTCGTTCATTTAGCAAGAATCCAGTCCCTGATTTATTAATATTCCTGAAGTCCATCAGTCTACCATGTCGTCTCCGCATGGATGACCTGACAGAGCTGTAGATGGGTTCTCCGAACGTACTATTAAACTGAATGGGTGAGCAGATATTTGAGCACGACTGTCCTTTTCTCTTTGGTCTCTAATAGATCCGGGTGGCTCTTTGATGTCTGTCTGTGAAGGGTAATCAGCCCGTGAATTGGAATGTCCTCGTTAGCGCTAATTTAAATGTATTAGCTTCAGTAGCACAATACCTCCTCATTGAATTTTTGATTTCGCTTGCTTTTATGAATCTGTTCTGCATCTAAATTTAATCTATAATATATAATTAGCATTAATTTACCATGGCATAATTAATTTTTTTCTACTCTGCCAAATTGCACAAATAATGTTGTCATTGCTCTATTTTTTTTTACAACTCAGTACTTTTTTTCTGCAGCCTAGAACTTTTTTCTGCAGCTTAGTTTCCAGAAATTATTTTTCCTATTCATTTTCTCCATAGTGATTTCAGAAAATCTTTCAATAGAGTTCTAAGCCTCAAACCACAACAGCCAGGTTTGAGATGAATCATAACATTACAGCATGATTCGAGGCAAAAAA